AGTATCTGCAAGCCATCCACAGTGTTAAGGACACTACATACCAGTACAGACTGTGTTTAGCATCATATATGCTCTAGCGCTATGTAAACCTAAAAGAATAAAACTCTCCAAATGATACATGACAGTATCAGAGATCACTTAACAAGAGTGATCAAACCCAGAAGCAATATGTTTGAAAGAGAAGCAAAATTCAAATTACATACTTAATATGATTCAGCACTCATCTCAAGTTCGAGGTACTCATATATGTACATTAATTTATACATTAAAAAAAATCTAAATAGTTAGTAAAAAATTGTATCGGTTGAGCTTTCATTGCCATGAAGAAAACCAGTATTTATTTTGTTGTAAATTTAGCCCTCTATGCAGCAAAGATTTACAGCACTGCGTAGGACTGTTTTATACAAGAAGTATTCCCCAGGAGTTCAACTGAACATAGTGCTTCGTTAAGATCATGCAGTGGTCCTTGCAGAAATAAGGACTAAGTCTTTTATTATACTTAGAGACAGTGGTGTATGAATTGAAAATGAATTACAATACTAATTATGAGAACAGTTCTACATGCAGTGCAACCATGTTATTCCTCATGTCTAAAGATAAATAAATCTTTATATATATATATATATAATCTGTATCTATCTATATATTATATATATCTAAATATAAATAAATCTTAAATAAACAAGACTGGCAAAGAACAGGTAAGTGAACAGTGACTTGAGGAGATGAACCATTTAAAGTCAGTGCAGCAGGTCAGCAGAAGACCCTAAATCAGGATTTAGGAGATACGTGTTTAATATTCCTTCTTGTCCAGGAAGCCACTCCTGCCTGAACAATCAGATTTTGAAATTTAAGCAACAGTGAGACAATATTTAAAAAATGCTATGTCAAGAAGGAAAGAGATTTGGGTTTTTTCTATCTGTATCATGATCAAAAAGACTCAGATAGTAATAGTCTTCCTGTTGGTAGAGTACTTAGCTGATAATGTTACTCCTGCTTACATTGTGTGAAGATTTATTTAGTGATTCTTAACCTTTATTTTTAGAAGAGGTAGAGGACCTTTGATCAATATTAGCCTTTACCTGTCCCGGTGTTTTGTTTGTTTTATGACACCACAGGAACACATGGTCTGATGTATATCATATGTATGAATCAGTACCATATAGTCTGATTTAAAAAGTGCTTTTCATTTGACAGCAAAGAAGTATCAAAATTTTTCCTTTCACTGTAGTACTCTTCATATTTGTCTAATATTTGCAATTAGATGTGCCTAAACACTATGATGTCTTAGGGACAAATTCAGACAAGTATCTCATGTATAACTAAAGGAAACTTTAAGAAAATCTAAAGAAAACTTAATGCTTCTTTTTCTTTTAGACAAATGGTAGAATTTTTTTCTCTGTCACCTGAAACCATAATGAATTCCTTCTGTATATTTAAGTGGCTTTTTCCTGCTGTTAGTTATTTGAAATAAAGAGGTGCCCAAATGTCTCGTTCAGGACTGGGCACAGTTCTGATAGATCACTGCACACGGATGTAGTCTGAAATGTTTATATGCTACATACAGTAAAATACTGAAGTGCTTTAGTGCCTGAGGTAGGCTGTCTACCACATCAGCTCAGAGAATCCCTGCAGGTCCTGATGCCTCATTGAGGATTAACCCTAAATGTTTCTGTGCACCTTACATCTATATTCTATTAATTTCCTATTGCCCCATTTAACTCAAGGAAAGTACCTGCAGGATTGAATCAGTGATAAAGGTGGAACTTGTACAAATGAAACATGTACTATGGGGTAAGACCCTGATTCTGTGAAGCATTTACCTTTGGTTTCAAGGGAAATGCTGTAAATTTTTGTTGGTTGCTATTTCCACTCATGTTTCTATAGCTAGATATTACTGCTTTTATATCCTGAAAAGGAAATAGTGGAGGAAGAAAGATCATGTCTTATAGACAAACATTTAAGTTACAAGTTGAAATAAATAAAAACAATAACAACAACAACCAGACACATTCCTGTAATATTTTATCACAGACATTTATTTGTCAGGTACTTCTAAAACCAGTATGTAATAAATAATTTGGAAGGATCACAGGGTCTGCATTTTTCAGTTCCTTTATAAAGTAATGATACTAAGGTTTTGCTGGTTTTCCATCCATCTAGAAACTGTGTCTTTGGTCTTATCCTATTGGTAGAGGAGTGCAATATGTATATGGTCATATTCCAGGACCATTCACTAGCAAAAAATCTTGTGTTATTTGGTCTGTGATAGCTGTAACTGAATAAGTCCAGATACATTGTCTAGTCTCTACAGAAATCTGATAGAGCAGCAGATGTCATGAGCTTATAAAGATTAAATTTTACATCTGATACAAAAGAGTACTCTTGAGAGTAAATTTCAGGAAGGTCTAAGCCATCAGATCAGATAGGGAAAACAGAGGTAGCCTGTGTAAAATTCTCAAAATCGAAAGGCACTATTTCCATCTGAGCTGCCTCTGTGCAGGCAATCCACCTCAGAATGTGTTTCCTGGTGGTAGGAATGAGTCCTGCTTCCCACCAACCTGCACTGGGGACATTTTGAGGGAAGGAATTTTCTCCTCACACAAATACTCCTCATGGATGGAAAACAGCACAAGGAGACACTAAGCAGTTTTATTTCAACAATGCTTCCTATTCCCACAACAACCTTTCCAAGCTGGTGCAATTGGTCCTATACACATGCTACAGCTTCAGGATCATCTTAACTCAGCCTAAGTGAGGCAAGTGAGTCAGTCCCTGGTATGGCTGAAAACCCATCAAGCTTTTGCATACTTTCCTATGGTTTCCAGGCTTATTCTGCAGTCAGATCTACTCACCTGTCCGTTTTACCCGGAAACCACACAAACAATAAAGCTGATGCTAAGAAAGCAGCAGGGCATGCAGACGTATGAAAGAACCGTTCTCTGCAGTAACAACAGTATTACTTCAGTTTAACCTGATCATGAAACTGCACATTTTTAAATTCTGCGGATAAAATTCTTGGGTTTATCCTTTAGTCTCTCTGCCTGTTTTCTACAAAACGCCTAGAAACCTATGCTATGAACCTCCCTCTCTGTAATGCGATAGATAAGGAGGAAGGTTGCTGCTGTAGTGGCCCTTTCTCCATGGAATCTGAAGGTAAGGTTAAAAAAAAAAAAAAGTCTTGAGTCTGTCCTTTGTGCTTTTATCACACTGTTTTATTTTTCTTAGCAGTTTATTCCTATATATTAAAAATCTCAATGTGGTGGTGTTTTTTCTTTCAGTTGCTATATTTGCTCAAGAACACACAAGGAACATGTCTTCTGTGCTAAACAATTCATTTCAGTAAAATACAGTGGGGCTGGTTTATGATACATTTTATATACAGAAATGTTTCTATTAGATAGTTAACAGTAAATGGATGGAAAAAACATTTTACCATAGTTCTTGTTTGTGTAGCACAAATAGCCTCTTCTTTTGTTGCCATAGGAAAATTTTGGAATCTTTGTTTTTCTGGTATATTGTACATGGGAAGTTTATTTTCTTAACAAGAAGGTGCTCTTTTCTAACACCGGGTACAATTTTCTAATGCTAGGATTACTGAGAGGGACAGAAAAGTAACAAGTATTTCTTTTCTGTTTCTCTGCTTGTGTTTCACACTTGACAGCACCCCATGCATAGTTTATTTAGCTTTTCCCCTGGGTAGCCAACCAGTAAGCGAGTTTCCTTTGCTTTTGAGTCTTGTGCTGAACAACAGAGGAAAAGAAAAGCATTTCAGAGCGTAGGAAAACATGCATATAAACTCACAAATATTGACAGGATGACTCAAAGGCATATGAGCTATCAGAAATTACAACTCTGTAGAACCACACACTAGGCATGTTCAGAGTACAAGGTGGGGGTGGTCGTGGTATCTGCCCATTACCATACCTTCCTACTACAAGTATAATTAATGGTTTAACACATTTTGGAGAGGTGAACACAAGTTCTGTGTTTGTTAATAAAACTGGTGGAATATTTGCTGATTTTAAAAAGTAGTTTTAATATGGAGTCCTACCAGCCCTCTTCACTTTCTCTTACGTCTCCACTTTGGTGACACCACTGTGTTTGCCACATTAAACACTTTGCCAGTGCAATTGCAGGTAAATTTATATAATCATAAAGGAGGAACTGTCTTCATGTCCTTTTTCCTGCAGTGGCTATTAACACCTAATGTGACGAAGTTATGATGATATCACTTTCAGTCCTTAATGCCACTGCATCAAAAATATTGTTGATAATGGTAATAAACATAATAAACTTCTACTGTGCATAGAACCTGAGCCTAAAAAAGACTTCATAAGATAATCTAGTTTATCCATTTGCCCCAAAACAAATCAGTCATCTTTAAACATTTTTTTTTTCTGATGTTTTCTTAGAAGCTGCAGATGATGGGGATTCCACCATTGCTCAAGGCAATCTGTTCTAACGCTTCACTCTTCTCCTAGTCAGGAATTTTTCCACTCAGGAGAGTGAATCTTACTTGTGGGAGTTCCTACACCAACTTCTTCAGTTTTTCTCTCCCTGATCTTCACCTGCAGCCTGTGTGTGTAGCAGCTTTGCACTGTTGCTGAGAAGCGCTGACGGCCTGCGCTGGGGGAGGACGGTAAGGAGGAAGGATGCAGTGTTCTTTGAGTGGCCATAGGGCCCGTTGCAACCTGTTCTGAAACAAGCCATTTCACATGCTCTCCCCTGTCCCAACCTCTCATAAAACACTGTCTTCTGAAATGAAGTGCATGCGTGGGTGTCCTTATTTCTGTTTTCCCTTCTACCGGGAAAACGGGGCTTGTTTTCGCGGAGGCTTCCCAGACTTGCCCTCCGGGGAAGGGGCGGGAGGGGCGGTTCTGTGCCTCCCCTCGCCGGTTCTGGCCGCTGCCTGCGGCGGGGATCGCCCTCCCCGCACTCCCACGCTTTCAGTTACTGTCGGCGGCGTTCGCCGCCCGCCCCGTTTCGCTTTTCTCTCCGCGCCGCGCTGCGCCTCCCTCCGCGCCTCGCCCGCCCGCTCCCCCTTTCTCTCCCCGGCACTGCAGCAGAGGTTTCACCGCAACGCGAAGCCCACACGGCCCCTCCTCTGGTCTGTCACGCTTGGCGGCTCCTCGGGAGGCTCCCGGCTCCCTCCTGCAGCCTGACGCCGGGAGCAGGAGGCGGAGGCGGCGGCGGCGGCAGCCCGGAACGCCCCGCAGCCCGGCACGACCGACCGACCGACCGACCGACCGAACGCCCCGCAGCCCGGCCGCGCCGCGGCTCTCGCCTCCGCCTGCCCCGCCGGTAAGTGATGCTCCGGGCAGCCAGGCGGCCGCGGCTGCTCCCGGGCAACTTTTCCCTTATGTATTTATTTATTAAAATTTTATGTTATTTTTTTGCGTGCTTGCGGCGGCGTCGGACTTCAACTTTTCCACGGGACGTACATGGGGGTTTGCTCGCCGGGGAGGGAGGAGAGCTCTCTTCGGGGCGGGTCGAGCGTTACAGGGTTCCCTCGCATCAAGGCGGCGAGCGGGCGCCGTCTTTGCTGGGCGGCTGCTCGCTCCAGCTCCATCCAGAGCTCGCTCGCTCTTTTGCCCAGAGGGAGCAGGTTGCATAGATCCGGGGCGGTGTGAGCGCCTAATCTCTGCTTTTGAAGCTGACTGGCATAATAAGACTGACAGAACTTTTGCACGCTAGGGCAGCAAAAGCCAGGGGTGTTGAGGTTCGTAGACTCCAGACAGATGTTTGAAGAAAACAAGCTTGCAGATGTCCTAGCGGTAAGGATGATGAGGAAAACCAAAGATGCAGGAACAGTGTCGAGATTCCAGCTCCTTAGGGAACTGAGACTAAAATGTGTTTAGGAGGGAACAAGCAGGGTTTCAGACCCTGCAGCAGCAAAAAAAACCAAAAAAAAACAACAACAACAAAAAAAAAAAAAAAAAAAAAAAAAAAACAAACAAAAAACAAAACCCCAAACCAACAACAACAAAAAAACAAACCAAACACCACTCCCCCCCCCCCCCCCCCCAAGCAAACATAAACCAAACAAACAAAAAAAAACCCACAGCAATTTAAGTTGTTTTGAAAACTATGTTGCCTTTTTTCACTGTAAGTTGCCTGCAAGGTTTGTAACTCACATTGACTATGTTGGGAGAATATTTCAGCATTCATGACCCATAAGGTGGAGGGGGGACACCCTTTCTTACAGCTTCAGGAAAGGACTTTTCCAAAACACACTAAGTTACTGCTTTCCTGGTGCTTTGGGGCTTTAGATCCCGAGATGCCTCCAGCAGTGTATGGGGAGGGAAACATGGAGAAGTCCCTGTGGGGAAAATTATAGCCCAAGTCCTGGGGTTAGGAAAAGCTATGAGATGGTGAGGTTTTTTGAGGCGACACCCATCTTATTTAAAGAGGATTGCAGGGCAGAAGAGCCTGAGGGATGCAAAGAGGCAGAGGAGCTGGTCTGGCAGTCCTGAGTGGAGACAGGACACCCCAGGGACCTGAGAGCAGGGTGACACGAGGGTAATTGAGCATGGAGGTCACTGATGAGTCTTGGGAGCCTAATCCTGCAAAGCACTGTGGGCGCTGTGAGAGTGGGGGGCAAGGGTGGGAGCTGAGTCATGCTGGCTGGGGTGGCCACAGCACATCTGTACAGAAAGGGTGGGCCGAGGAGAGAAGAGATGAGGAAGAAGCATAGAAAAATAGGCGGGGAGGAGGGAGATTGTCTCATCGAAAGATGCTGAGATCATCCAGAGGCTCCTCTGTGATTGATAGTATCCTGCTCTCCTTCCCATAAAGGGCTAGGAGGCTGATGAGTGTATCTCTGATGGGGGGGGGGGGGGGGGCGGGCAGATTGCAGAGGTTAGTACAACACAAGGGAAACCTACTCAGACAAACACAATTGGTGCTGCTGGTACTTGGGCTGCATTGCACTGCAGTGCAGGGAGCTCACAGCAACTTCTGCCTTAGGAGAGAGAGGGAGATGCTGAATTGATCTGTAGAGGTGGCACAAACTATGCCAAAAATCACTGTTTTGCAAGGGAATTGCAGATAGAATTGGAAGTAGGGCTGTAACAAGATTTTGGAAGAAACTTCCTGATGAATTTGCAATTAACTACAAAGGATTTTAGGAAAAAAAAACCCAACATCTAAACCAAATTAAGTTCTTTGATTAGAATAGCTGTAATTTGTATACTTCTGTTGGAAGTTGTTTTCTTCTGAGTTCTCTATGGGAGAAAGTCCTGTTTTACATATGTCATATGTCCTCCTGAATTATTAAAGTTTTACAATGGATCTTCATTTCATGTATTGAGGTCCCTGTGGGAATTAAATTGTTTTGTGCTATATCCATAGTTTTCCCTGTAATAAAGCATTTATTCCGCATTTTCATAGAGAACGAGGCATCATCCCATTCTTTCCTCCTCACTTAGCCACTTCCTGAGATTTTATTGAATGGTAACATGCATTAAATCCTACTGATTTGGTGCTTATTTTGTTGTGGGTTGTTTGGTGGGGTTTGTTTGGTTGGTTTGGTTTGGTTTGTGTTTTGTTTTGTTTTGTTTTTTTGGGGGGGGAATTGTTTGGTTTAGTTTTATTTTTGTTTTGTTTTGTTTTAGATCTGTTTCTATAATGTGTGACAGAGAAGCATTGCTTTTCTGTATTCCAAAGAAATGCAGAATTCACTAAAATATAGTCACAGTAAACTCCAAGTGGACTTTTATATTTGGAGGAAAGCTTTGCACAAACCAAATATTGACAAGAAGACAGTCTGTCAATTAAAATTATTGACAGATAGTGAGCTCCCAAACATTTTCAAACGATACTCAAAGAACAAACAATCATTTAATATCTATATTTCTGAAGCTGTATTCCTACTGCTTATTCAATAAAGATGACCCTGAATATCAGTGGTGCAGACTTGACATAGGCTTTCTCTGATGGCAACTTGATGTAAAATCACGTCATTGCATTCCTGAAAAATAGATTTGTATTTAGCCAAATAAGACCAATCCAAGTGTTTTCTGATTATATATTAGAGAAATCTAATTAATTTCTAGTATTAGTAAAGCAAAGGTATTAGGTTTTTTTCTCAGTTCTGAGCAACATGCAAGAAAGATGTTTGCAACAAAGGAAGATCACATGAAACATTCAGTTATGTTTGCAAAACATGGTGTTACCTCAGATGACAATGTGAAACCTATAATCAAGCTTATATGTGCCTGACTGTATAAGCTTGTATAAGTTGCTTGCACTAATGGTGAATTTAAAATTAATTTTTTTAAATGGTGTGTTCCAAAGCACAGAGAACAAATGTTTATCCACAGTGGTCCTGATTGTGCTGTTAAAATCAGTGTGAATTGTGTCGTAGATTTCAGTGGAAATCATAATGAAACCAGCTATATAATTATCTAGAAGTTTTTGTATGAAAATAGTACTAATGAAGATATTTCACTTTCTCAGTTGTATGAAAGTTGTTTCAGTGTTACAGGCAGATCTCCTGGGCTGTATGTTGCTGTGAATCTTTGCAACCCATATGCATCACAGGATGCATATCAATGCTTGTTTAAACAAAAGCTCCTCAATTAGATTAAATGTGTTTGCAGACCTGTGATAGGGAACCCACAGCTGCTGCCACCGCCTTCATATTATGTAGTGCATAACATTTTCCTACTAAAATAGAATGGAGTCCTTTTTTAAAATTATTCACAGGACTGGCTTTAGAGCTTGTCTTCTTTTAAGTGTTTATAAGAAGTAAAATGGAAAAATTAATTGAACGTATGCTCGAAATATTGACACTGGGAAGGAAAAGGTAGTTAATTTTTCTTTTAAATTATCAAACAGTTTCAGTTTTAAATAAATTAAATATATTCTCTGGTAACTATGTTACAAAACATGGTGGGCCTTTTTTTCCATTAAACATTGGTTGATAGCCTCACAGGCTTTTAATTTATCTTTGATTTTGTGCATTGCTACATGGTTCTTCTAGAGACATTCTAAACATGCAGAGTACCTATTCTCCTGTGGATGTTTATGCTGCTGGTCTGTGATATGCTAGTCAGGTTTGATATCAAAGTAACATTTTTATGTCAGTGTGCGATAAATACATGTGTATTAAATATAATCAAATTTGTTTATCATTATTATTGAAGCTGTTGTCCTCTTATTAAAAAAACAAAAACAAACAAACAAAAAAAAACCCAAACCCTCTCAGTCACTTTCCCACCCAGAGAAACTAATAAAAGTTTAAATGTTGCAGACACAACAATGAAATTGCTTAAGATATAATACAGTGTAATGCAATTAAGAAATTGTAATGTCCTTTCATTTTAAAGACTGAATTTTTGCCTCTGTCTGCATTTCTGCTGACTGGCAGCTGACAGTAAACACTTGCCATGCATCAACAAAACATCAGAAGACTTTCATGATTAGGTGGGCATCCCATCCAAATATTTGTAATTCACCTAAAGAAACCACCATATTGAAAAATATGAACAACTACCACGTAATGAAGCTGTTTTAGCACACAAGGCATATAGCTTTATATTGATCTGATTCATGAAAAATATGGTATTGTTGCAGCTTCATGTTTCCTTGCCAGCAGCAAGATTTTTTTAAGGTAAAGCAGCATTCCAGTAGCTGGCTCTCCTTCTCAGCAGGTTATTTTTGTGGTAATGGCTGTGTGGGTCTAGTTATGTGCTTTGTTCTAGGATGGTAGTCTGTGTTTTACAAGCACATCTAGATTTTTGACTGAAAATCCACATTAAAATGAATACACTTGGTAGCAGCATTAAAGCATCCTGCAAGATTTTTTCCCCTTTAATGATCATATAAGTTCTTGTACAAGGAAAAGCTACATGAAATACATAATGAAAACTAATTATTTAGAAATACAAGTAACTATGGAAAGGAGAGGTGACTCTGCTCATAGCATCTCATAAGGCCTCTGGGTCTCTAAGTGGCACCATTTTCATGTTATATAGAGCTGGAGAATAAAATTCTGTTTGAAAACTGGATTCCACCCTTCTCACCCTTCATCCCCTGCCCTGACTGTGGCAGATTTTGCTTTTATCTGGGAATCCCAGCCACTGCTGCAGCCTTACAAATGAAAAGGTCCTATAGACTGCTCCTAATGTGGAAAAGGAGAGATTCCTTGGAGCAGCACTTCCAGCTGGAAGTCACTGCTCTCTAACATGTAGCTTTTCCTTTTTTTCTCTTTTATCTGTGTAGAGTCTTGAAATCCTGCCTCTTGGACAGCTGATGGTATGTCTTACATCCTTGTTGTCTACAAAAATGGGACAAAATAC